AAAAGTAGAAAATTCATTATTAATCAAATTAATGCAACTTGTTATAATGACACAACCCAAAGAATAATATGCACTTAGAAAATCTTCTAAATCATTGAAAGTAAAGTTAATGTAGCCCCCGTCCAGGGAAAACAACTTTCTAAGCAACATACATTAACTGCTGTCTTACCGGTTGATATCATACGGAGGATACTGTAGACAACATACCTTGAGCCAATGGGAGAAGCAGGAAATGAAATGCTTAGCCTCTATCGTGTCGTCAGTCATGAACAGCACATTTCTGTACCGCTTAATCTGAAAATGGTAATCATATATGTTATGTGGAAATACAATCATTACAGTCATCAGCAGTGGGTGTATTTTCAAAAAAGTTCAAACATCAAGGTATAGCAAAAATTCAAGCTATATGAATAGCTCACCAATCTGCAATATTCTTGTAAAGACGTATTTTCTTAAGACGTAGAGTATGCCACTGAATCAAATGTTGAAGTTGTTTCATCTGAAAAGCAAAGATTAAAAAGTGTTGTCACCGTTAGGACAAAAGCTTTAGGACAATGATAATTGCAAACGATTAATCAATTTGTCGTTACGAAAATCAAACTAGATACCTCTAATGAGAGATAAACAATTATTGAGAATATTATTAAGAATATATATAAACTTTATCAAATAAAGAAAACCAAAAATGCATTTTTCGTGCAGTTATCAACTACAACGTAAAAGTGCATTAATAAAAAATCCTTTTATGTTTGACAATGACTTAAAAGCAGAAATTTAGGTGCATCTTTAGTCTTAAAAGAAAGGAAAGAGGATAGATTGACCAAGCTTTCAAAATAAGTTAAAATATGTTTAGGAATAACTCATATTCATTCTTAAAACAAGTGGTGCTCTCTCCTCGATTAGCCCAACTACTCAGAGAGTCCCTCCTAAAGGAATTCCCCTTCATACAATTTGTTATGTAGGCTATTATTTCTCTGTTGTTTTTAGATTTGTGTTTAATTTGTATTGTGTGTAGTATTGTATTAATGTAACTGATAATTTGTATGTAGTTGAATTTTTAAAATAGGAGACGGAAACTAAAAAATAAGAGTTGTCCTGAAAAGCAAGTTCGAAACTTTTTTAATATCTTCCTAATCATGCATTAACATTTCCAATGATAAAGATCTAACTAGCCGGAGGTTTTAGCATATTTCTTTTAACTGTCCTTTCTGAATGTTGGTGACACCGTATCAAAAAAGGTAATGAATTTGAAAATGTAAGGAAACGTAAGTTGAGCTTTTTGTGGTATTCCAATTGCATACTCATTTGATGTAATTACGTAGGCACTCTAACACTGGGATTTTTCTTCTAAAAAAATCAGTACCATATCAATTTTTGGTTGACGTCAGTAAAAACTGGCGATGGACAAGAACAAATCTGGGGGATTTCTTCACTTTCAATAAGAATCAGGAAGAACTTCTGGAACTAATTCGATGATTTCAGCCAATGAATTGTTTGATTTGATTTGACGGATGGAGGCTCCCTACAAGAACCGAAACTCGTGAACATTTTCTAAAGCGAGTTGAGACTCTTGAAGGGGAAAAGAGGTTAACATGTTGCAACAGTACCTTTGAGACGAATAGTCAGGTAAGGTTTTGATCTATCTTGCCATGCTGCTGTCCAAGGCGTGATACTTGCAGGAAACCCTGTAGGGGTCCAGGCAACTGACCCTAGCTCAAATCGACTGACGCTTGACTGGAAAATCGCTGTAAACAGTGTAAAAAGAAGAAAGGCTAAGAAACTGGCAAAACACATCGCAAATTTCAAGGGAAACGCTAATGTTTATACAACTGCAAACGTTTAGGGCCTGAAATTACGGCCTAATAATTAATTTGGCATAATCGTTGATATTGTCATAATCTACCGAGAATAAAATTGTCACGGTCGTGGAGCTATCTGAGCTTTGATAAGCATCACAACACCAAGTGCTGTATTTTTACTTAACAGCACTGTGGATTTGACAAATAAGTCGAACTATCACATGTGAGCCCATTTGCAAAGAAAATCGATTCGCAAGTGACGTACCAGCATTACTCGTGCTCAGACCTCTAGACGCTCTCCAAGGAACCTTATCCAAGAAAAATTTTTTCACGGCCTCTGTAACGGAGATCCATTCACTTTCGTTTTGTAGCCGCAATTCACCAATGAAGTCTAGAATACTATCAGACATCACCAAACCATCTGCTAAAATACAAAATACAGAAAAAAATATTACCAACTTGACAGATAAGACATGCAGCGAAGTTAGAGAAGTTTAACCACCTCTAGCTAGTAAAAGCAAACAAAAAAATCAATTCAAGCGTCCCACTTGAACTTGAAAAACATGAAGCATAACAAAGACAAATCTGACATTGTCCAAAAAATCAAGCAAGAATTTTAATAAAATCCCTTGAAGATTTCCCTTGACAGTATTACACAGGCACTACATGACAAACTAAAGCAAATAAAGAATAATGTTTTATTTTGCATTTAGGCTTGTGGACGTTAATTTCCAAAATAATTTAAAAAATCATAAAGGATCCTTTGCATAACAAGTGTTATTCAAAGCCAGCCAACTATTGCTTAGGATATGCAGCTATCTAGCAAAAGAATTTATTCCTGCACCTATAACAGACTCTTACAAATATTTAAAGTACTTTCAAAGGTCACTAGCATACCATCAGAAAAGCCCCAGCCATAACCTGCGGCAACTGCAATGAGTAGGGTGCAGGAATCTAGAATTAAAAGCATCAAGTCAAAGTTTATAGAAAAGTGGAAACAATACTTCAGTTCAGATTCTTGCAAATAATTAAAAAAGTTTTGTTTACCGATGTATGCGATGAAAGGCAATATACAGGTTTGATGTCGCAGAAATTTACACTAGTGGCCAGGTACCGCGTAAAAGGCGTTCTTGAAAAGTCTCTGAAAACATTAGATGTCTCTGTAATTTTGACATTTTCGACATTTTATGAGGTCATTAGTAATTGTTTTTGTTTGAGTGTCGTAATGAACCGACCGGCAAGGAGAAAGATAAGTAAATTCTGATTCAGTGCCTATTGCGCGCAGTTGTTGTTAAGGCTATGTACATACAACCATAGAATTTTATCACCAAAATTTAAAAAAACATTTTACTCGCATCATTTGTTAAAAATTAATTATATATATATGAAAAAATGAATTAGAAAATCTTTTTTGTCCACAGTGTGCATCATTCAAACAAAATGTATACAAATACAGTAAATCCCGATAACACAAACCCCTGAAAACTTGAACATTCATTAACTCGAACCATTTTTATTGTTTCTTTGGAGGTCAGAGTTATAGAGATTACTGTATAGCAAATGTTTTTGATGGAAACCTTGCCTACACTTATCACAATCTCAAAGCATACTCGTCACCCAGTTACGCGACAAAGTGCCTTTAAGACTTAAGACTAGAAGGTTGAGACTTAAAAAACAGACTGACATATGACAGCAGATGCTAACAAGAGCAATATTTTCAATTCTATCACCATAACATTTGAGCTAAACAACCTTTTGTTTCTAAATAAACAAAACAAAATTTTCTTTATAAATACTAGGAGAATAAAACTAAGTTATATACCATATATGGTTTCTCCACCCACCCACAAAACAACGATGTCTGTCTTTGCAGTTATCATCGGAAAGATTATATCAGAAAAGACACCTTCCTGTTGAGAGTTGCTGATACTAGGAGCAGAAGGGTGTTAAGGGCATTGGAGGTTCCCTACCCTTTATGTAAAGAAGAGTCATGTTTTGTCGTGTACCTTGTTCTGTTGAGACCCCCTCCCCCTGTTGTGTACTTGGGGGTATCCCCCTTTGGTCACTACCATAAGATAAGCATCCGCAATATGAATAGTTCAGGTGTGCATGTTTAATTTCACTTTAGGGCAAATAATCCTGTCATCTTAAGGGGCGGGAGTGCACTTTTAAATATACCAATATGGGAACAACCAATAACAAAGTGTGTTAACGTCTATTGTCTACTACTTTTCACCCCACGTATGACTTGTTGTCTTGCGTTTCCTTGGATAGCTCTTTGCTTTCTGAAAGAACACAAAATAGAGTGAAAAAGACCCTATCTTGCTTGATTATTTAATTTTGTTCTCTTGGCTGACAAAAGACTGTAGTTGAGTAACATATGAAAAGTTATTAGAATGCTAAGCATTGCCCGCAACGCAGCAGCAAGAGATATCGAATTCTCTTCATTAAAAGATTACGTTCAGTTCAAATATGAGCAAGCAGCTCTTTTGAAAAGCAAAAACAGAAGACAAGTCGTGGAGTAATATATCATGGCAAAATATGGTGCCCCTCCCCTAAAACAAAAACACCCTTAAGTTCATGCTTCATAGCCCGTTCCGCATAAAACTGCTTTCTAGCATGCCCTCAATTTTTGGATAAACCCATTTTGGAAAAAGACTTAAATGCTAGTCCCCATCTATAACGCAAATATTTAAGCGATAATTACTGCCCAACAACGAAGAAATAATTTGTTATTTGCTAAAACGTCCTTGTACGTATAACATATCACGAGGTCGTGCCATCGTGAATACTTCGATTTGTTGTTTCACATATACACTACAATTATATACAATTATATTCTTGGCCTAATTGGAAGTTATGCTTGAACCGTAACATAAATTATTCCCAGCGTCATGAGACAAACCTTGGGTCAACCCATTAATGCATGCCACCTAACGCATCCTTTGCCATTTAGCAATCTAAAATTTGAAAGCTAGGTCCACTGAAAATGCTTCAATAAAATATCCATAGCTAGATGATACAGTTGACTTATGACAATCCATAAATATTAACATGGACGTTCTATATTCCGATTAAATAATGTAAATAATCTGATCTTACTTTAATTATATTTAGTTTGTTTAAAGACACTGTCTCATTGAACTTTGAGCATACTCGCCTGGGCAGCTTTTTCTATACAATATCAATAGGTCTTGGTCTAGGAGCCTTAAATCTTGATGATCGGTCACCAAGGGAAGCGGTGGAAATTACAATATGTATACGAGCCATTGACTCCTCGTGCTTGGAATTACAAAAAGGCATCGTTTCATTTGGAAACAACAAGGAGACTACCGTGTTCCGAGTTTGCGTGAATTTGCGATATCGCGGTACCTGCACATCGAGACACAGCACCTCCCGTGCATTCCGGAAACGGTACCCTTGTTTCCAGAAATATGAAACGAGGACATGTTGCACAACCACTGCTGACTGAACAATCACTTAGATACATTAGGGTGACGTCACAAACTTTCATAAATTCTAATGCTTGTTCAATAGCTGCCACAAAGGTTAGGAGCTTGCTTCTGCACTGTTCAACAGGATAATAAATACTGTGTCCACAAAAAATAGAATAATATAGTATATTACATATCAACGGTTTAACAAGTTTATCACCTAAGATCTAATAAGGTAAAAATGAACTTAAATGAGTTGTGTTTTATGTGTCGGGTTCATGTGTCTAGTGTTTAAACGATGACGTCATTGAGTTAAAAAATAAACAAATCAAGATATTGTAATCAATTAGGCAGAATCAATCAACGTGAAAAGGATATGATTAGTGCTTTAGATCCACAATAACAGTACTTTTGCTGGCAAGTTTGATGCAAATGGTATTTGAAATTTTTTAAAAAAAATTTTTTTTACTCGAAACAACCTAAAAAGCCTCAAGATACGTTCTCAACGCCATTTCGGATTGTTTCAGTGAAATTTATTCTGATTTATTGAAAAAAAGGAGTTGGTGATTTTTGAAAAAACTCATGACCCCGGACCTGCAAAAAGGTTGACAAATCTTGAAATTTCTCAAAAAATTTTTTTTACTCGAAACAACCTAAAGAGCCTCAAGATACGTTCTGAACGCCATTTCGGGTTGTTTCGGTGAAATTTATGCTGATTTTTTGAAAATAAGGACTTTGTGATTTTTGAGAAAATTCATGACCCCGGACCGGCAAAAAAGTTGAAAAATCTTGAAATTTTTCAAAATTTTTTTTTTACTCGAAACAACCTAAAAAGCCTCCAGATACGTTCTGAACGCCATTTCGGGTCTTTTCGATGAAATTTATGCTGATTTTAGGAAAATAAGGATTTGGTGATTTTTGAAAAAATTGATGACCCCGGACCTGCAAAAAAGTTGAAAAATCTTGAAATTTTTCCAAAAAATTTTTATTACTCGAAACAACCTAAAAAGACGCAAGGTACGTTCTGAACGCTATATCGGGTCGTTTCGGTGAAATTTATGCTTATTTTTTGAAAAAAAGGAGTTGGTGATTTTTGAAAAAATTCATGACCCTGGACCTGCAAAAAAGTTGAAAAATCTTGAAATTTTTCAAAAAGTTTTTTTTACTCAAAACAACCTAAAAAGCCTCAAGATACGTTCTGAACGCCATTTCGGGTCGTTTCGGTGAAATTTATGCTGATTTTTTGAAAATAAGGAGTTGGTGATTTTTGAAAAAATTCATGACCCCAGACCTGCAAAAAAGTTGAAAACCTTGAAGTTTTTAAAAAAATTCTTTGTACTTGAAACAACCTAAAAAGCCTCAAGATACGTTCTGAACGCCATTTCGGGTCGTTTCGGTGAAATTTATGCTGATTTTTTGAAAATAAGGAGTTGGTGATTTTTGAAAAATTGATGACCCCGAACCTGCAAAAAAATTGAAAAATCTTCAAATTTCTCAAAAAAAATTTTTTACTCAAAACAACCTAAAAAGCCTCGAAATACGTTCCGAACGCCATTTCGGGTCTTTTCGGTAAAATTTATGCTGATTTTAGGAAAATAAGGAATGGGTGATTTTTGAAAAAATTGATGACCCCGGACCTGCAAAAAAGTTGAAAAATCTTGAAATTTTCCAAAAAATTTTTTTTACTCGAAACAACCTAAAAAGCCGCAAGATAAGTTCTGAACGCCATTTCGGGTCGTTTCGGTGAAATTTATGCTGATTTTTTGAAAATAAGGAGTTGGTGATTTTTGAAAAAAATCATGACCCTGGACCTGCAAAAAAGTTGAAAAATCTTCAAATTTCTCAAAAAAATTTTTTTTACTCGAAACAACCTAAAAAGCCTCAAGATACGTTCTGAACGCCATTTCGGGTCGTTTCGGTGAAATTTATGCTGATTTTTTGAAAATAAGGAGTTGGTGATTTTTGAAAAAATTCATGACCCCGGACCTGCAAAAGAGTTGAAAAATCTTGAAATTTTTAAATAAATTTTTTTTACTCGAAACAACCTAAAAAGGCGCAAGATACGTTCTGAACGCCTTTTCGGGTCGTTTCGGTGAAATTTATGCTGATTTTTTGAAAATAAGGAGTTGGTGATTTTTGAAAAAAGTCATGACCCCAGACCTGCAAAAAAGTTGAAAAATCTTGAAGTTTTTAAAAAAATTTTTTTTACTCGAAACAACCTAAAAAGCCTCAAGATACGTTCTGAACGCCATTTCGGGTCTTTTCGGTGAAATTTATGCTGATTTTTTGAAAATAAGGAGTTGGTGATTTTTGAAAATATTCATGACCCCGGACCTGCAGAAAAGTTGAAAAATCTTAAAATTTTCCAAAAAAAGTTTTTACCCGAAACAACCTAAAAAGCCGCAAGATACGTTCTGAACGCCATTTCGGGTCGTTTCGGTGAAATTTATGCTGATTTTTTGAAAATAAGGAGTTGGTGATTTTTGAAAATATTCATGACCCCGGACCTGCAAAAAAGTTGAAAAATCTTGAAATTTTCTAAAAAATTTTTTTACTCGAAACAACCTAAAAAGCCGCAAGATACGTTCTGAACGCCATTTCGGGTCGTTTCGGTGAAATTTATGCTGATTTTTTGAAAAAAAGGAGTTGGTGATTTTTGAAAATATTCATGACCCCGGACCTGCAAAAAAGTTGAAAAATCTTGAAGTTTTTAAAAAAATTTTTTTTACTCGAAACAACCTAAAAAGCCTCAAGATACGTTCTGAACGCCATTTCGGGTCGTTTCGGTGAAATTTATGCTGATTTTTTGAAAATAAGGAGTTGGTGATTTTTGAAAAAAATTGATGACCCCGAACCTGCAAAAAAGTTGAAAAATATTGAAATTTTTCAAAAATTTTTTTTTACTCAAAACAACCTAAAAAGCCTCAAGATACGTTCTG